TTATGGTTCTTAACTAGGGAGGTGGCAACAAGAGCAGATGCAGCCCTGCCAGAAGACTCCTGTTTAGATCCATCAGTGTATATAACTTGTGATAACTTGTTACTACCAGCTAGGTGAGAAATTTCTTCTTGAGCAGTTGCTCTAACAAGAGATTTAAGGAAGGTATTACTAGCAATGAGCTTCTTGGGAGGGACTTGTAGGTATGTGATATTAAATGAACACATCTTCCATGGAGGGGTGAAATGCTCTTGTTGCCTACAGTGATACAGTTCATGCAGGTTATAAAACTTAATGCAATTGCACGTTTTCACAATCCATTTACCTCTAGACACTTGGTAAGATTCACTGTGACAGTGTCTGGTTCGTTTCTCAACATTCTAATACCGAGTACAGTGTTAATTTCAACAATCCTATCACTGATACTAGAAATACCAAGCTCCTTCCTCATGTTAAGAACTTTTGTACATCTGGGACAGCCAAGAATAATCCTGAGAGCTTCATTTTGCATTAACTCCAAGGGTCGGAGAGAACTTTCTCTAGCTAATAAATATCAACATGGGAGCAGCATAATCAATTAAGGACCTAACATAGGCTATGTACATCATTCTCACGATTCTCACATTAGCACCATAGTTGGGATTGTAGCCAGCAACAGCTTTGAGAGCATTTAGCCTAGCTTTACATTTCTTGTTTAGTTGTGGTATTGTGGATTTGTTAAAGGGTACATCTACACCAAGATATCTGTAAGTTTTAACGTAGCTAATGATTTCACCCTGCAAGTAGATGGGTGGGGGATTTCGTTTGCTTGTTAATATCTTTGTTTTAGAGGAAGATATTATGAGGCCTAGTCGATTACAAATTGCTTGAACTTCATTAAGAATGGTATTCATCTTCTTATGCCCTGTTGTATGGATCATGATATCATCAGCATAGCTTATAGCTATATGTTTAGGTGAGGCAGGTAGAGCATTTAGGAGAGCATTAATCAGAATATTAAATAGCATGGGACTAAGAACCCCTCCCTGCGGTGTACCAAAAGACATTTCTTTAGAATCACTTCTGAAGCCTTGGTAAAGGACAGAGGATACTCTGTTTAAACAGGTATCCTATTATCCAGCAGAGTAAGCTACCACCAATATTCATTTTGGCTAGTTCATGTTGTATAACGGTTCTGTTCGCAATATCAAATGCAGATTTTAAATCAAGAAAAGTGGTAAAACTAGTAGAGGTGTGTGCAGTGAGAAAGGTGGAAATACAGTTCTGCACACTTTTACCTTTCATGAACCCATAGAGGTAGGGGGAAAGTTGGTGTCTGATTCTGTAGTACAGTCTGTTAAGCATCATTCTTTCAAAGGTTTTACAAAGACACTAGCTAAGGAGATTGGCCTAAATGTAACTGAGATTATACAGTGCCAATAAAGAGTTATCAAGGCTTTTCAAGTCTTAAAATGTCCCCCCACTTAAAATGTTAGAACAGGAATTCTCGTCAAATTTATTTTTCTCAAGCCACTATGAAACACTGGTATGCCAGCAGCAGTGCACAATTTATATAGACATGCTGGGGGCCCTAGCTAAACTGCAGGCTGCCTTTGCTTGTTGTGGTTAGATTTTAGTGCCCTTAAGCTTGCCAAGCCCCACAACAACCACCCGGACACCTGCTTCCAGCAAGTAAGCATACAGGAGACATTCACAAGAGGATTACAAACACTCAAGCAGTCATGTCGTGTGGCAAAAAATTACCTGTAGACCACAAGGAAATAGAGGTGAACGGCTGAGTCCAAATCTTGGAAGAAGTGACAAGGGAAGGGGTATTAAAGAATGATCAGACATGACAGAGAATCTATTGAAAGAAATTTGTTGCTGGAAAATTTATATCCATATATAGTGGGCCCAATTACAAACATGTTTGTAGATGAATGGTTCAAAGAACCAACATGTTGATAAATTAGACACATGTGCAACTCTTGGTTATTTTTATTGAGGAAATGTTTTGCCACACAGTGTCTCCATACATAGGATTTCTCCTATGTATGGAGACACTGTGTGGCAAAACATTTCCTCAATAAAAATAACCAAGAGTTGCACATGTGTCTAATTTATCAATTACAAACATGTTCAACCGCCTACTGGACAATATGTAACGAGTTGACAGTCAGCACCTACAGGCAATAATCATCAAATATAGTAATGACCAAATCTTTGAAGGAAGACTAGACCAAATCATTAAAACAAAAAGGACATTGTCTTGGAAGACTAGAGTGACTTTTACTAAAAATATCAAACCTCCAATTTGTGTCATATATGCCTTCTCAAAGTGAAAAAATATATGGCAGTGGTTATTTACAACATACTAAGACTATATAGGATGCCACCACCATATTTCCACGACCAGGAAACAACAACAACTCTTATCACCAAATAACATTCAAGACATGTAAACACATTGTAAAGGACATTAAATGTAAATATTGAAAACATCAAATGTCATTGGGCACAGCTTTCAATTTTCGGTAACCTTGGAGTATTATCACCTCTACTTCGAGTGTAAAAGGCACATTATAACACTTCTTTGACAAAATAAAAATACAAGGGTGCTAAACTCTTTCAAGAAATAAATGACAACATACATGGAGGAGCCCCTGAGAAATACAGACCACATAAATTGCAAATTTGAATGGAAACATCAAGAGAGTTTGCTACACTATTTGCCACTCAATTTGCCAACTTCTTTCTAGACTCCATTCAATGACGAAACAAAAATAGTACTTGTAGACACAATCTAACCACAAAGTGCATTTTATCATCATAAATGACAGCCAGCGAACACACCCCTTCTTAAACTTAAAAATTCTCTCAGCACTTCTAACGTACTAATGCTGCCTCCCCCTGCCTCGCACTGATTTTCTGACTACACAAGCACAACACACTACCCAGGTACACACTTCTGACAATGCTTAGGTTTGGGGTATTTATACAATGACAACCCTACACACAGTTCAAACTGAGGACGAGACATACAAGAAATTCAATGAAGGACACACAAGAAACCTCAAATCAATTCCCAATTTGCTCCATTCAACTACCAACATGTCCTAAAAGAGAGATGCTTAATTAATATGAAGGATAAGTAAAACTGATTCAAAAATGATCACTGCCATCTAATTCCAAGAGAACAGACCGCACAAATTCTACTGAAGTGTAGTAACAGCAACTAACACATCAAATGTAAGAGAGAGAAGAGTATGAGTACAAGAATCAAAATGGGTTCAAGTACTTGTTTTTAAAACATGGACAGAGTAACAAGTAAGAAAAGCCTCAAATTGAACGACACAGGAATCCATACTGAGACCCCCACCCCCCCCAAGTAACAGTCATTGGCAGTAAAGACAAAACAAGAAAAGAAACATTCAGCATAGATAATGGCTCCACAACGAAAGAGATGGAAACAAGTATACACACAACTTATACAAGTGGATACAGCAAGTTGTGTAATGCACAAAATTATAAATAAATACCTGACATTTTAAGACGGCAGATATTGCCATCTTCAAACATACATTTTGATTTGCACCACAATGACTTACTTTCATGACATTATTTACAAAAATAGAACATCCATTTCTACATATACATGTACAAATGGATATTCTTTAGAGTAATGTTCAATTTGATAAAACTTAAAATTAATCACAAATGTCATTTAAACATTATAAACACATCTCACGACTTTCAGAAACCATTGTCAATCTTTCCATAACACTCTTGTACGTCTTCAGAAGATGACACTGCATTGGGTATACAACTCTTGTCTCCAATCTTTGCCAACTTTATACTGAAAATGAAAAAATATTAAATTATTCTCTATTTTCATTTACAATGAATAAAATTTGTCTTAATTCCATAAATTACAAATAAAAACTACACCATCTTCAGCTCCATCTTTAAAAACTATATACTACCGAGTCCAACAGAAACACAAACACAGTGAGTGAGTCAGTGTGAGAGAAAAGTTCAATAACATACACGTAGCAATAATAGTTTCATTGCCATCTGCTTCTTAAGGTATAGTCAGTCTAGTTCCCACTATCCCTTCCCCTCCCTCTTCCCCCCCCCCCCCTAAAAAGTGACATGTGGATCTCTGGTTAAACAGTAAAATCACTCAACTCGCAGCTCCCAACACTATATTATAAGTACATGCCTGCCTTATTCTATTGGATTTATTGGTTGAAAACTTCTTCCTCTAGATTGATTGTTGCAGTAATCATCACATCTTTTGAGTATTGTACTTGCCATGGAGTGATTATTTAAGTAGTGAGTAACCTGTCTATCTTTTCAGCTTGGATGAAAGTGAGCGTCACCAGGTCAATCAACAAAAAGAACGGATGGAGAAGGATTTTAACGTCTAGAGACTTCCCCATTTTGGATCTAATTACATGTGCACCTATATGAGAAATTATAGGACGAAACCCCACAGCATTGTAGCAGTAAAGAACTGCTTTCTTGTCATCGGGATATTATACTCAAGACCCTATCTACTGTAAAGATTAGCTAGTGGGTCGTAACCAACACCTGCAACCCCCCCCCCCCATCATCAACAACGGCTAAAATTTCAACAACATAGCGTCATCAACACCAGACATCCCTATATATAATATTAATATTGAATTAACTTATTTATATTTTTCATTTTCTTTAATATAGGCTTAATATTTCATATTTAAGTGTTTTTTATATTTTAAATTTCTATATAATAAAGTGTTTAAATATTTGTCTATTATTTCTTTTTCTATTCATTAATTTCCTAAGTACAGAAAGACATTGTCCATTTTATAAATTTACTCGTGAAATATTCAAAGTATAAATTTGTCAATTTTTTCCCCTCAAAACTATATAAACTTTATCATCTGTACAAAATAATATATAACAAAATATATTAAGGTGCTCACTTAATGTCCTTTCGCTACAACATAAAATAAATGCTAAAGTTTCCCCCAGTGGGGGGGGCCGTTGCCTGTGTCAACTTGATTTTTCCACTGCCTCATAGTAGGTGCTGCTCCTTACAATTTCACTCTAACAATTTATTCCTTGATTTAAACCTCTTGTAGTGAGTGCTAAAGGTGCACTTCTGCAAAAATCATGTTTATATCAATTTTAAATGTGCTAAAACTATTTTCATTCACTCAATCATTTTTAGATGCAGTGCCTCAAACCAAAAAAAACAAATAAATACTTTCAATATCACTCACTTCCTCACTTTTTTACAAGAACCAAACATCAATCTACAATTCAAAACTTCAATATCCCCAATCCCCCTCCTTCGCACATAACATACTATATATATCCGACTCCAAAATAAATTCCACATAACCAGTTTCCCAAAGCACTTTCTATTTTTTTTCCTTCCTCATCTCCAATTTTTTCACATCACAAAAAACTTGTCTCCACTCACTCCTATCTAACATTTTTTGGGTTAATCCCTTCTCATAATCTCCCTCCCCTCCCCTTTCCTACTACCCCCCCCTACCCTACCTTCTCTCCATACAGTTTTTATCTCCTCGTCGCTACCCAAATTTGGGTTTTTCCCTCCCTCTCGTCGTTCAAACACCTCGACGCCCCCCTTTTCCCCCCTCGTTAACCTACACTGGAACCTCTATTTCCCGGACTTTAATCATTTCGTGACCTTAGGGGTAGATGGATTTGCTTTTTGTAAAGTAAATTTTTCCCCCCTTTTTTTACATTATTAAATTTTAAATTAATTCTTTCCCAAAGGGGAATTCCGGGCACGAAAAAATACTTTAAATTTTCCCCCCTTATACCTCAAAAAAAATTCATTTATCATCACTTTTTCATGAAATTGACATAAAATAACATGAAACATGAATAATACAAAATGAAAAAATACAGTCTTTTGGTTTGTACATACTGGGGGTGCAGCAGAAACTGTTTTTGGGATTTATAGGGCCCCCACAGCGACCTTTCCTGCTCCGACTACTGGTACAAAACCTGAAAAAACCAAAACAAACAATCAGTCGAAAATTTTTTAAAATTGCTATATTTAAATGTTACATTTTGCCACGCTGTTCATGTTGTCTGTTACTCCACCTCATCATCCTAACCCGATGTCATAAAAAAAAATAAACATGTTGCAATTTTCAACTCTTTTTAAAGTACTTTAAGGGTGAAAAAATTTAAAATCAACTTTATTTTTTGTAGTAAATTTCCCTTTCTATCAAAGGAAACAAAAATAAAACTGAAATAATCATAAAAATATCAAAATAACTGCAAAAAGGCAAGCTAATGGCTGAAAACCTTATTTTTGGTCAAATTCTTTCATTCTTGATGTACTTTAAGGAGCATCTTTTCATCGCTCGTTCCCCGATTTCAATAACTTACTCCGACAAATAAAACGAGATCCTATCGAGACGAGACCCCCCTTACCAGTGAAATAAACCTCCCTCGATCCGGCCGCGTCTGGAAGCCAAAAATCGACCGAGGGCATTTTTTGTACTGCAAAAAAATCGCATGGATGCACTCCCGAGTACAGGTTCCACTGCACTTTTAAAACCCACCCCTTCTAATCCCAAACCCCCAAAAACTCTTACTAATATTCACTCCTCACTTTTCTCTCGACTGACAAAAAAAAAAAACAACAACTTCCATTTTCGTCTCCCAGTCTCCCCCTTGTTACAAATTTACAACCCATCTTAAACCCCCATAAAAAGAGAATTGGTCCCACTATACTCCACACATTTTCTTCTTTGCTTCCATTAAAAAGTTCTTTGTCTCCAAAAACCCAAACTGCGTGTAACTCTGCCTTTACTCTTGCTAAAAATTTTTTATCCAAAACAAAGTTTTATTCAGTTGCGATACCATAGCACATACATTACATACATAGAAGCACTTCTAACCAAAAAAGAAAAAGAATTAAAGGGCCCGGGAGGAAAATGGCAAGGATCTCAACTTCAAAGCCCAAAAAAAATGTATCAACTGAATCTGATGGAAAAATTAATAGGAGGAAAATGACAACCTTCAAAACTAGGGACATAAACCCCCATGATGTTTCTCCAAACCCGGAATATGATGTACACCAAGGCCCCCCCTTCAAGGCGGGCGACATTGGCCACAAACTGTACAAACAACTTTCACACACACATAAGTGATTAAGGTATCTAAATATTTTCAACAGTTGAAGGTTCTTGGGGTGATTCCCCCCGAATGAAGGTGAGAAACAACATGTAATATAAACTTGGGAAAGGCCGGGGGGATTTGGGACAAAACCTGCAACAGTGTCAGGGGAAAAAAAAACTGTTTTAATTGCCTCCTCGTGTCATGTTCAGTGGTCAGTCGTCACGTGGTCACAGACCCTAGCTGCTTGGGGATTACGTGGACGTTACAAAGCATGGCTTGTTTACAGTGTTTTAAAAGCTGAGGTTGGAATTGAAGGAGGAGGTCTTGCTTTCCCCCAGGAGGGGATTTGGAGGCTGAAGGTCCCCCTCAAAAAGGGCCTGGGAAGAGTGTAGGTGGTTTTGGGGAGTGGGGGAAAGAGGCTTCTGCAGGAGGTGCGCTTCTCTCACTGTGAGGGGGAGGGGGGTGGTAGCAAAGGCTCCCGCAGGGGGGGCAGCCCAGCACCTGCTACAAGTGGCGAGTTGTTCACAGTAATGGGAGCGCATCAAGTAAGGGAAAATTGAGTGCAGATCTGAAGGAGGAAATCGCTTTCTTGTCCCAGGATGAAGTACTTCATGGCCATGAAGGGAAGGGTACTTTGCCCCGCTAATGAAAGGAAGCGCAAATTTTTTGTGGTTGGTGACTCTCAGGTAAAATATTTGACGTGCTTTTTGTAATAGGGAAAAAGAAAATGAGAATAGAGGTCTTCCCTGGAGCTGGTGTTGGGGACATTTCAACAACTGGATAATATCATGTCCGGTAATGGGAAAAAAGCCCATTTTCTGTTCGTGCTGGGGAAATGATATTGGGAGGGTAGGAAGAAACTGCTAGTTAATACAGGTCAGCTTAATTTCATTTAATCTAAGGGAGGGGTCCCAATCAATGTAACTTGCCTAGAAGGGGAAATAGCAAATGAATGGTGTCTAGGGGAATTTGGTGTAAATTGCTGGCTAGACGATACTGCAAGGAACTTTTCAATCCCATTTATTGACAACGGAACAATTTTTTGGGAAACAGATAGTATGCAAGGGGTGGGGTTCACTCTGGGGCAGGGGTGGTAGCCTTGCAGACCGATTGAGAAAGGGCCCTTGGTGAAATGCCTATATTTTTAAAATGATGGAAGATAGAGGTATGGGTGTGTGTGGGAAAAAAGCAGGTTGCAAAACAGGTTGGAAACAGTAAATGTATAAAAGGGATTTTAGCTGAAATTTTAAAAAAAGACAATACAAAAAGGCAAAAAAAAGGGGGACGCAGAGGGCAGCAAGGGACGGGTCCCTTAAGGTTTTCTATACTAATAGCAGGAGTGTTAGAAATAAGATAATGACAAGATTAATTGCAAGTGCAGGAAAAAAAGATATTATTAAAAAAAAACAGAGACCTGGGTCAATCTGAAAGATAGACAGTGCCCTTAATGTCACATACAAGGCTATAAATTATTCCCCACTGGGCAGGGGGCAACAGGAAAAGGGGGGAGTAGCATGTATGTCAGAGACAATTTTAAAATTTTTTGTGTTAGACAAGATATTAAATTAGAAGCGCAGCCACTGAATCTGTTTGGTTTCACTTTGAGGGGCCCAGAAAAAAAATTTTGGGTGGATTTTCAGGGGCCCCAAATCTTTATAGGATGCATAAACTTCTATGGGACGAAATTCGTAAGGAACTACAACGAAAATGTTGTGCAATGGGAGATTTCAACTAAGACAGATTGACTGGACAATTTGACGGGAAATTTAGAGTGGGTGACTTTTTTGATACGATCCGGGATTTTTTTTTAAAACAGTTTGTGACAGAGCCAACAGGGAAAAATAACCTCCTGACTTGGGTTTCTTGCCAGTAGGGAAACACTAATTAAAATCTTGAGGTTAAAAATGAGCGGGGGGGGAGTGATCACAAATCATCGTTTTACATATCATGGAATTTCCCCCCAATAAGGGCATCAAGTCCCCTCCCTGATTTCGTTTGGGCTATTTCATAGGACGAAAAATTACTTAGGTGGGCTGAACTGGAAAAGACCGACTAGGGGTCAGGTAGGGGGTGATGGTTGCCGATATGAGCTTTCCAGGGCATAGTTAAACTGCTCAGTCAAATTTGTTCCAAATGGGAAATCGACAAACAAAAAAAAGACCAAATGGTGAAAATAGATAAAATATCTGATTTGGTCCAAAAAAAGAGGGAATTAAAGGGAAATCAAAAAGGGGAAGGGGGCAATTAAGAAAACGTATATTCAGTTAAAAAAGAAAAAAAAAAAGGGGAAATTAGAAAAGCAAATAGAGATTATGAGGTTAAAGTTGCAAGAGAATCGAAGACTAACCCAAAAGGATTCTTTCAGGTATACAGAAGTAAGATCAGGGACAAGATAGGCCCACTCAAAAGTTCCTCGGGTCACCTCACTGACAGTGATAAGGAAATGTGTAGAATTTTTAACACATACTTCCTCTCAGTTTTTACACAGGAGGATACCAGCGATATTCCAGTAATGATAAATTATGTAGAACAGGACAATAATAAACTGTGCACTATTAGGGTCACAAGTGACATGGTCCTTAGGCAAATAGATAAATTAAAACCTAACAAATCCCCAGGCCCTGATGAACTGTATGCAAGGGTTCTAAAGGAATGTAAAGAGGAGCTTAGCACACCTTTGGCTAATCTTTTCAACATATCACTACAAATGGCATGGTGCCAGATAAGTGGAAAATGGCAAATGTGATACCTATTTTCAAAACAGGTGACAGGTCCTTAGCTTCGAACTATAGACCAATAAGCCTAACCTCCATAGTGGGAAAATTTATGGAATCAATAATTGCCGAGGCAGTTCGTAGCCACCTTGAAAAGCATAGATTAATCAACGAATCTCAGCATGGTTTTACAAAGGGGCGTTCCTGCCTTACGAATTTATTAACTTTTTTTACTAAGGTATTTGAGGAGGTAGATCATGGTAATGAATATGATATTGTGTATATGGACTTCAGTAAGGCTTTTGACAGGGTCCCACATCAGAGACTATTGAGGAAAATTAAAGCACATGGAATAGGAGGAGAAATTTTTTCCTGGATAGAGGCATGGTTGACAAATAGGCAGCAGAGAGTTTGCATAAATGGGGAGAAATCAGAGTGGGGAAGCGTCACGAGCGGTGTTCCACAGGGGTCAGTGTTGGGCCCCCTGCTGTTCACAATCTACATAAACGACATAGATGAGGGCATAAAGAGCGACATCGGCAAGTTTGCCGATGACACCAAAATAGGCCGGTCGAATTCATTCTGACGAGGACATTCGAGCACTCCAGGAAGATTTGAATAGACTGATGCAGTGGTCGGAGAAGTGGCAGATGCAGTTTAATATAGACAAATGCAAAGTTCTAAATGTTGGACAGGACATAACCATGCCACAATATAAACTAAATAATGTACATCTTAATATTACGGATTGCGAAAAAGATTTAGGAGTTCTGGTTAGCAGTAATCTGAAACCAAGACAACAGTGCATAAGTGTTCGCAATAAAGCTAATAGAATCCTTGGCTTCATATCAAGAAGCATAAATAATAGGAGTCCTCAGGTTGTTCTTCAACTCTATACATCCTTGGTTAGGCCTCATTTAGATTATGCTGCACAGTTTTGGTCACCGTATTACAGAATGGATATAAATTCTCTGGAAAATGTACAAAGGAGGATGACAAAGATGATCCCATGTATCAGAAACCTTCCCTATGAGGATAGACTAAGGGCCCTGAAACTGCACTCTCTAGAAAGACGTAGAATTAGGGGGGATATGATTGAGGTTTATAAGTGGAAGACAGGAATAAATAAAGGGGATGTAAATAGTGTGCTGAAAATATCTAGCCTAGACAGGACTCGCAGCAATGGTTTTAAGTTGGAAAAATTCAGATTCAGGAGGGATATAGGAAAGTACTGGTTTGGTAATAGAGTTGTGGATGAGTGGAACAAACTCCCAAGTACCGTTTATAGAGGCCAGAACGTTGTGTAGCTTTAAAAATAGGTTGGATAAATACATGAGTAGATGTGGGTGGGTGTGAGTTGGACCTGATAGCTTGTGCTAACAGGTCGGTTGCCGTGTTCCTCCCTTAAGTCAATGTGACCTGACCTGACTAGGTTGGGTGCATTGGCTTAAGCCGGTAGGGACTTGGACCTGCCTTGCATGGGCCAGTAGGCCTTCTGCAGTGTTCCTTCGTTCTTATGTTCTTATGAATACAAAATGAGGATTACCAAAAGACCCCTGGCTCTCTTCAAGAAGGCACTGGACAGGCACATAAAATCAGTACCTGACCAACCGGGTTGTGGTTCATACATTAGCTTGCGTGTGGCCACAAGTAAGTCTGGTTGATCAGACCCTGATCCACCATGAGGCCTGGTCTTAGACCAGACCACAAAGGGTCTCGACCCCCGAAACCCTCTCCACGTAAACTCAAGGTAAGGTCACTCAGACTTATATGAATTTAATAATTGAACATCAAGAGACTAATCCCATGAACTTCACAAGACAACATCAAAAAACTAACCCCATGCACTTCGTGGGTGAATGACTGACTGCTCCTCGAAGGGCTTGGAAGTATCAGACTTCAACATGTCGTACATATGAGGCACCACCAGAGACCCGAATAAATCCATGCCTTCCCTGGGCAGCTGTGTGGGCATATTGTCTATGCTGCACACAACTACCCTGGGGCCCTTGAAGCTGTAACAAGATTCCACAATATTAATCACAATGTATGATTTACATGTTATAAAATAGTTAAATAAAAAAAAAACAACTAACTCTGCTTCTCATTATTTATCTCACTATCTTTACTTGTGTACCTGTTAGTATCTTTATTCTGGTTGGCATCGTAGACACACAAGGGCATCTCAATGGTGGTACACTTTGTCATAAACTATCTACATCCTCCAGGATCTGCTGAGACATAACACATGGCCAGCATCTTGTGTGGCAGTGATGGTGAATCTCTCTGTAATAAGAAATATCATCTTCATTATCATAATAATAATTACTATGTGGTTTTTTGTATATGATTATTTATTTACAGAATACAGTATGTCTATCAGTGGACACTAAAGTAAATAAGTCTCAATTTTACTTTCTGCATTATTATTATTATTATTACTATTATTATATTCAAAATATAAGTCCATATGTAAGGAACTGAGAAATATAAATAGGTGAGTACAGTCAGACAGAGAGGAATAAAAATGCTGTGAGTCCAAGATTGTTGAGTAAATGTCAAGACCACCTACGACCACCTCTAACTCACAACTATCAGCAGTGCCTAGTAGTGTAAATGGCCTTCTCTGTGGAAATAAGTAAATGTTCTTTTCCTGTTCACAAAAGTAAGAGTAGAATGGAAATCAACAATGAGAGACTTGTGTCATTCTCATCAATCACTGGCAAGATTCCTTAGATAATAACCTCACAACTAATAAGGATGAGTTTTTCAAATATCAGTCACTTCTTTGTGATCATCAATATGCCTTAAGAAAAGGTTACTCTTCTGCTGATCTCTTGTTAAACTTCTCCACCAAGTGGCACTAGTCGCTACATGAATCCACACTCAGATGTGTAGTAGCACTGGACATTGCTACATTTCCACCAAGTATGGCACCAGGGACTCTTGGCAAAACTACAAGTTAACAGCTACATCTACACTATGCTTTCTCACTGATTACCTCTAAGCTATATCTCTAAGTGTAGTTCTAAGTGGAACAGAGTCAACAACACACACTACTAGTACCAGTGTATCACATGGAATTGTGCTTATGCTATTGTTATGGAAAGTTTATTTCAATAACCTTCAGCTCATTCTACAAGCTCATGCATATGGAGATGACTGTACTCTAACATTCACTTATCTAGGAAAGGAAATGCTGGCCGTTCTATATTATATCAATCACCAGCTTACAGCTATATTAGCCTAAGAAAAATGATGGCAGGTTGCATTTCCTTCTAAGAAAATAAAGATGATGGTCTCTAGGCACCATGATAGTAATGCTTGAGCAATGGTAAGAATGAATGGGAGTGTATTGGTACCCTGGAATGAGGTTCATATCCTTGCGCTAAAATTTGACTCTAAACAGTACAAGCCGCAAGACTCTGTATCAAGTAAGACTGCTTACACCTTCAGTATACTCCACCTTCTTGGATTGCCTGCCCCATGTCTCATCTGTGATTTCTTGACACAATAATGAACAGAGCAAGACAACTTATCTCTTGTCTGAACCCAGCCTGGACAGATCCATCATTTCAACAGAGCCTTCAACACTGTAGGGATGTGGGTTGCCTTACTGTTGTAGACAAGGCCAATAGTGTCAAAATACCTCCACTCTAAAAGCAACAAAAAGTGAGCTTCTACACCACAAGGCAGGAAGAAACAAGTAACCATACTCTCAATGTACCCTACCTCAGAACATCACTTCATCTGAGATCATTTATTCATAACATGATTCTAAAATGGAACATGTCCGTATAACATAACATAACCGAAATAAAGTCAGATGACCAAATAAAATTTCTAGCCCACATATGCCTCCAATTTCATTTTGTTTGTAAGTAAGCTACAAGTACACTTAATTATAATTACAATACATATTTGTAAAATACCCACCATGATAACCAAAAAAAAATCAAAATCCATTGTGTTCATAAAATAAAAAGGTTTTCAAATAAGTTGAACTTAAGTAACAGCTCTTGTAAATAAAGATAGCAACTTTTAACCCAACCCTGTAAATATCCTTGAGTAAATATAAAAAAACTTAAACTGGTAAGGAGCCAGAGTGTATATAGGCTGCAGGAGGACCTTGGCATCAGGGATGGTTACAAGTTTGGGTGAGTTCACTGCCCCATATATACCACTGATGATCAACGTGGAATATGGCACCACCTGAAACAAATGGTGAAATGAATGAAAACATATATAAGTTCTATGCACAGTGAGAAGATATAAAACTTCTATATACAGTGAAGATATATACAAGTTCTAGTATATACAAGTTCTAGTATATACTTTAAAAATATAAACAAACTCTACATAAAGTGAAAATATATAAAATTTCTATATACAGTTAAAATATATAGTCACTACATACAGTGAAAAGTTATATAATTCAGCGTTGGCCTACTATACGCTTGCCATTGTTCGATAAGAAAATTATCTTACAATTAAGAAAACTGTTCTTATGACAAAGAAAATGACATTTTTTTTTTTTTTTTTTTTATCACACTGGCCAATTCCCACCAAGGCACAGTGGCCCGAAAAAGAAAAACTTTCACCATCATTCACTCCATCACTGTCTTGCCAGAAAGGTGCTTTACACTACACTTTTTAAACTGCAACATTAACACCCCTCCTTCAGAGTGCAAGCACTGTACTTCCCATCTCCAGGACTCAAGTCCGCCCAGCCTGCCAGTTTCCCTGAATCCCTTCATAAATGTTACTTTGCTCACACTCCAACAGCACATCAAGTATTAACAACCATTTGCCTCAATTCACTCCTATCAAACACACTCACGCATCCCTGATGAAAGTCTAAGCCCCTCGCACACAAAACCTCCTTTACCCCCTACATCCAACCTTTCCTAGGCTGACCCCTACCCCGCCTTCCTTCCACTACAGACTGATACACTCTTCAAGGCACTCTGTTTCGCTCCATTCTCTCTACATATCCAAACCACATCAACAACCCTTCCTCAGCCCTCTGGACAACAGTTTTGGTAATCCAGCACCTCCTCCTAACTTCCAAACTACGAATTCTCTGCATTATATTCACACCACACATTGCCCTCAGACATGACATCTCCACTGCCTCCAGCCTTCTCCTCGCTGCAACATTCATCACCCATGCTTCACACCCGTATAAGAGCGTTGCTAAACTATACTCTCATACATTCCCCTCTTTGCCTCCAAGGACAAAGTTCTTTGTCTCCACAGACTCCTAAGTGCACCACTCACCCTTTTCCCCTCATCAATTCTATGATTCACCTCATCTTTCATAGACCCATCCGCTGACATGTCCACTCCCAAATATCTGAATACATTCACCTCCTCCATACTCTCTCCCTCCAATCTGATATCTAATCTTTCATCACCTAATCTTTTTATCCTCATAACCTTACTCTTTCCTGTATTCACTTTCAATTTTCTTCTTTTGCACACCCTACCAAATTCATCCACCAATCTCTGCAACTTCTCTTCAGAATCTCCCAAGAACACAGTGTCATCAGCAAAGAGCAACTGTGACAACTCCCACTTTCTGTGTGATTCTTTATCTTTTAACTCCACGCCTCTTGCCAAGTCCCTCGCATTTACTTTTCTTACAACCCCATCTATAAATATATTAAACAACCACGGTGACATCACACATCCTTGTCTAAGGCCTACTTTTACTGGGAAATAATTTCCCTCTTTCTTACATACTCTAACTTGAGCCTCACTATCCTCGTAAAAACTCTTCACTGCTTTCAGTAACCTACTCTTTACACCATACACCTGCAACATCTGCCACATTGCCCCCCTATCCACCCTGTCATATGCCTTTTCCAAATCCATAAATGCCACAAAGACCTCTTTAGCCTTATCTAAATATTATTCACTTAAATGTAAATGTGGAGCCTTTAATTGAGCTATGTGTAGAAAGAAATTTGCTAATAAGTAATACATATTTTATGAAAAACAGGATAAATAAATATACAAGGTATAATGTAGCACGTAATGAAAGTAGTTTGTTAGATTATGTATTGGTGGATAAAAGGTTGATGTGTAGGCTCCAGGATGTACATGTTTATAAAGGGGCAACTGATATATCAAATCATTATTTAGTTGTAGTTACAGTTAGAGTAAGAGGTAGATGGGAAAAGAGGAAGGTGGCAACAACAAATAAGAGGGAGGTGAAAGTGTATAAACTAAGGGAGGAGGAAGTTCAGGCAAGATATAAGCGACTATTGGCAGAAAGGTGGGCTAGTGCAAAAATGAGTAGTGGTGGGGTTGAAGAGGGTTGGAATAATTTTAAAAATGCAGTATTAGAATGTGGGGCACAAGTTTGTGGTTATAGGAGGGTGGGGGCAGGAGAAAAGACGAGTGATTGGTGGAATGATGAAGTAAAGAGTGTGATAAAAGAGAAAAAGGTAGCTTACGAGACATTTTTACAAAGCACAAGTGTTATAAGAAGAGCAGAGTATATGGAGAGTAAAAGAAAGGTGAAGAGAGTGTTGAGAGAGTGCAAAAGGAGAGCAGATGAAAGAGTGGTAGAGGCACTGTCAAGAAATTTTAATGAAAATAAGAAAAAATTTTTGGAGCGAGTTAAACAAGTTAAGAAAGCCTAGGGAAAGTATGGATTTGTCCATTAAAAACAGAGTAGGGGAGTTAGTAGATGGGGAGAGGGAGGTATTAGGTAGATGGCGAGAATATTTTGAGGAACTTTTAAATGTTGAGGAAGAAAGGGAGGCATTAATTTCATGCACTGGCCAGGGAGGTATACCATCTTTTACGAGTGAAGAAGAGCAGAATGTAAGTGTGGTGGAGGTACGCGAGGCATTGCGTAGAATAAAAGGGGGTAAAGCAGCTGGAACTGATGGGATCATGACAGAAATGTTAAAAGCAGGGGGGGATATAGTGTTGGAGTGGTTGGTACTTTTGTTTAATAAATGTATGAAAGAGGGTAAGGTACCTAGGGATTGGCAGAGAGCATGTATAGTCCCTTTATATAGAGGGAAAGGGGACAAAAGAGATTGTATAAATTATAGAGGAATAAGTTTACTGAGTATACCAGGAAAAGTGTACAGTAGGGTTATAATTGAAAGAATTACAGGTAAGACAGAATGTAAAATTGCGGATGAGCAAGGAGGCTTCAGAGTGGGTAGGGGATGTGTAGATCAAGTGTTTACATTGAAGCATATATGTGAACAGTATTTAGATAAAGGTAGGGAAGTTTTTATTGCATTTATGCATTTAGAAAAGGCATATATATGATAGATTGGACAGAGGAGCAATATGGCAGATATTGTAAGTTTATGCAATAGGTGGTAAGTTACTAAATGCTGTAAAGAGCATTTATGAGGATAGTGAGGCTCAGCTTAGGGTGTGTAGAAGAGAGGGAAAATAATTCCCGGTAAAAGTAGGTCTTAGACAGGGATGTGTAATGTCACCATGGTTGCTTAATATATTTATAGATGGGGTTGTAAAAGAAGTAAATGCTAGGGTGTTCGAGAGAGGGGTGGGATTAAATTATGAGGAATCAAATTCAAAATGGGAATTGACACAGTTACTTTTTGCTGATGATACTGTGCTTATGGGAGATTCTAAAGAAAAATTGCAAAGCTTAGTGGATGAATTTGAGAATGTGTGTAAAGGTAGAAAGTTGAAAGTGAACATAGAAAAGAGTAAGGTGATGAGGGTATCAAATGATTTACATAAAGAAAAATTGGATATCAAATTGTGGAGGAAGAGTATGGAAGAAATGAATGTTTTCAGATACTTGGGAGTTGACGTGTCAGCGGATGGATTTATGAAGGATGAGGTTAATCATAAAATTGATGAGGGAAAAAAGGTGAGTGGTGCATTGAGGTATATGTGGAGTCAAAAAACATTATCTATGGAGGCAAAGAAGGGAATGTATGAAAGTATAGTAGTACCAACACTCTTATATGGGTGTGAAGCTTGGGTGGTAAATGCAGCAGCAAGGAGACAGTTGGAGGCAGTGGAGATGTCCTGTCTAAGGGCAATGTGTGGTGTAACTATTATGCAGAAAATTCAGAGTGTGGAAATTAGGAGAAGGTGTGGAGTTAATAAAAGTATTAGTCAGAGGGCAGAAGAGGGGTTGTTGAGGTGGTTTGGTCATTTAGAGACAATGGATCAAAGTAGAATGACATGGAAAGCATATAAATCTATAGGGGAAGGAAAGAGGGGTAGGGGTCGTCCTCGAAAGGGTTGGAAAGAGGGGGTAAAGGAGGTTTTGTGGGCAAGGGGCTTGGACTTCCAGCAAACGTGAATGAGCGTGTTAGATAGGAGTGAATGGAGACGAATGATACTTGGGACCTGACAATCTGTTGCAGTGTGAGCAGGGTAATATTTAGTGAAGGGATTCAGGGAAACCGGTTATTTTCATATAGTCAGACTTGAGTCCTGGAAATGGGAAGTACAATGCCTGCACTTTAAAGGAGGGGTTTGGGATATTGGCAGTTTGGAGGGGTATGTTGTGTATCTTTATACATATATGCTTCTAAACTGTTGTATTCTAAGCACCTCTGCAAAAGCAGTGATAATGTGGGAGTGTGGTGAAAGTGTTGAATGATGATGAAAGTATTTTCTTTTTAGGGATTTTCTTTCTTTTTTGGGTAACCCTGCCTCGGTGGGAGACGACCGACTTGTTAAAAAAAAAAATATAATAATACTGAAGCACTCACAAATGTTTTGATGTGCAAATATATTGCAGGGAATATTAATAATAGCATTTACTTCACTTAACAATATTGCTCCTTAATCTATTGAACCACAAAATATCATAAAACACATGAAAATTTCATAAATTATTGTACAGTGGTCCCTCGTTTTTCGTAGTTAATCCATTCCTGGAGCTGCTACTATTAACGAAATCTACGATTTGCGAATCATTTTTCCCCATAAGAAGTAATGTAAATACAATTAATCCGTTCCTGACACCCACAATTATTAAAACAAAAAAAATTTTTACATGAAATATACATGTAGTACATAAACAATACAATGGGAAATGATGAATGAAAGATTAACAGCATAACACTTACCTTTATTGGAGATTCCTCTTAGTGTATGGGAGACTGCAGGAGGAGAGAGAGTCGATTGTTTATAGTTTGCAAGGGGAATCCCTTTCCAGGAACACCTCAGGTACAAATTGCTTTTCTGGGGGT